GAGGTCTGAGTCCGAAGAATAGATTATTTATTTATACTTCACGCTTAGAGAAAAATTTAATAGACGTATTTATGCAATTCTAATCATTTCATTTTAATTTTTTTAATGTTTATGAGTCCCGAAACTCTTATTTTAATAATTCATATATAAATAAATTTAAAACTCCATTTGAAGATTCTCTCAAAATTTCTAAATTGAGTTTAAAATTTTTAAATTTAAATAAATGTATCTACGGACACCTTTAAAAACTTAATAAATCATAAAGTCGAAAAATTATATGGCATCGCAAATAAACAAATCGCAAAGGTAACAAATATATATATATTTGCACACACACTGCCCTACAATAAAGGAAAAGACACTTCCAGTTTTTGACATTTTTTTTTATATATATATATTTCTCGAGAAATACTTACAGGAATATTTTGTAACTTTAGAGGTGTTTAGTTCATGCGATTTTTCATACTTAGCAATGACATTTTATGCTTTCAGAGGTTTTGGAAGATCTACAATAAATTACGAAAGAAAACAAGTATTTTTTTACACCCTATGCAGAAAATCAAACAAAGCACTTGTAACTAGTATCGATTACTTCAGTTGTAATTTTTAATAACTACAGAAAAGTTTCGTAAACCTAGAGTAAGTATTTATGGAAATAAGGACATTTTTATAAAAAATTTACTTTGTGTCTTACGTTTTTTGTTATAACTTCATAAATATTCAATTGAATTAGACAAAATTTTTGGAAAAATTTAAAATTAATTACAAAATTGTAAATTTAAAATTTTTAAAAAATTCGTTAAAAACTGCACAAGATATTAGAGCTATTTCTTTAATGCAGAAAAAAAAATTAAAAACTTTTTTTCATAATTTTGCAGGAAATCGTATTTGACAACTAATCATAAGATCCTTATTTGAATATCTTAATTTAAAAAATTTCAAGCAATTCTTTTAGCAGTTTTATACTTTTTAAAAGAAAGCTCAAAACAATAAGGGGTTATCCACAAATTTAATTTTGCACTATTAAATTCATTAAAAATTCATTCATTAAAAATTAGACCGGCATTGCGAGGGATCACCGCCCATAAAAGTATTGTTTTCTTTTGCATGTTTTCTTTCTCTATACCATCAAAGTTTAGTTTCCGGACGATTATTGTAAGCTATTATCATTTGTTACTAAATTTTGTCTTACTATACAAAATAAAATTAGTGAAAACCCCCTTATTGTTATGAGATTTCTTTTTAAGAGCCCAAAACTTATACATTTTTAAGATATTCACATCAAATTATTTTTATTAGTTGCCAAATACGATTCACTACAAAATTATGAGAAAACTTTTTAAAATTCTTTCAGTGCATGCGTAGTATAAAAGAACTAGCTTAAATACTCATAATTTGCACAGTTTTTAACAATTTTGTTTTAAATTTTATATCGACAATTTCGTAATTAATCTTAAATTGCTCCAAAAATTTTATTTAATTCCATTGAATATTTATAAAGTTACAGTGAAAAAACGCAAGGCGAAAAAATGTATTTCTTATAAAAATGTCCATATCTCCATAAATATTTACTCTAGGTTAACGAAACTTCATGCAGTTACTAAAAATAATAACTAAAGTAATCGATACAAGTTTATTGCTTGTATCTTGATTTTTCTGTCATAGGGTGATCAAAAATACTTACTTTCTTTCGTAATTTGTCGTAGGTCTCTCAAACCTCTGAAAGATTTGAATTTCATTGCTAAGTATGAAAAACCGCACAAACTAAACATCTCCATAGTTAAAAAATTAGCCTTTAAGTATTTCTTGAGAATTTTTTTTAAAAAAATGTTAAAAACTGAAAGTGCCTCTTCCATTATTGTAGGGTAGTGCAAATATATATATATATATATATATATAGTATATGTTACGG